CAAAGGTATTTCCTGTATAAATATTTATTTGATGAGTATTTTTACGGATCATCAACCAAATCGTCGTTTTGTATATATTTTAATGTGATAATTTAAACACATTCCATTGTTCTCAATTAATGCGATTTTTATCCAAATGGATCTACTTATAAAATGTATAAGTAAAGCATAATTCATAATACGATATATTATATTATATTCTTAATATATTAATATATTATGTTAGTATATCATTATAAAATATAAAAAGAAAATGTACGCTGAATACATTAAAATTATTTATTAATAATCAACAATTTTATTATGTATAAGAAGATACTGCATGTTAATATAACAATAAATTATGTTTTAAATGTTACATTTATACTTACATCAGGATGAGGATTTAAATACCTACGTTTCTTCAACCTCCCCCCCCCCATAAATTACTTTCCAAGAATTTTTTTTTCCAATATTTAATTAGTTTGAATATGTTTAACCTGAATCAGAATTTGATTGACATCTGGTACCCCAGCAAATTAAATTTCCCTGAAAAGGGGGTGCTGAGGAAACGTTTTCCCAACCCCCCTCCGAAGTAATTAATGGGCTCGCCGGAATTCTCTTTTGCCAATATTTAATACGTAATTTGTTTGAATTTGTTTGACCTTATTCAGAATTTATTCGAAAATGCCCTTAACCGTCAAATAAAACCAATGAATATAATGAATACAAATCTAAATATATCCCAAATTTTTTTAAATTTTTTATTGATTTCAATTCCATCATTTTTTTTAATGTGGATTAAAGTTTTTTAGTAATCTTTCTTTTACTATTATTTTTATTGATAAAATCTTCAACTTCACGTACTAGACTAACGTATTATAGTAGATTTCTATAAGACGATAAGGTTAGGTGATCACAATCGTCTTTGATAGGTAACTAGTTAATGTCAGTGCTTTGAAAGAATTGGTTTTTAGAATTGCATTAATTGACTTAAAATACAGGTGGGTATATGTATATTATAATAATATGCATTAGACTTAATAGTCAATAACTCGTATAAAAGATAAAATACAATTATTGTAGTTTCCAGTTATTAATTTTAAAATTCATCTCGGTTACAGAACATTTTAGAAATTTTAAAAACTTTTCTTCTGGTATAAATGATAAAATAAAAATAGTAATCACTAGTTAATAAAATTTTTATAGTATTTTACTTAAAATGAAAAAAAAATAGTAGGTAGATGTATTGATGTATGGAACTAATTTTGTACTTGGAAATCATTGTTTTAGAGCTTACAAAGAAAAATGTAATTTGCATTGAAATCCCCGACTTACAGTTATTAAACATGGGTTATACGTATTATGCTACTTGTTTTAAAAACATTGTATTTAATTATTATTAAAAGTATCAGACTTATCTCATCGAAATTACATGTTTAAACTTTAAACGTATAATGTTTATTATTATTTTAAATATGCACGATGCAAATAAATATTAGGTAGGTACCTACCTACCATTTATTAATTATTATTTATTATCAACTATTATTTAGGAATGTTGTTAAATTTATTGACATTTAATTAAGTAGGCCTTATGCTGTTTTATTTCTATTTTTAGGCATTTTTTCTCAGCCCTATCCATTTTTAGAAAACCCATACCTAGTGACACAATTTTGGTACCTAATCGATACCTATGATGATCGTATGATTCTTAAAAGTGTACAATGTTTATTATATGAGTGAACTTATATCGTATAATATAATCAATGATTACCTACCTACATACAAATATACAATATTAATTATTGCAGGATACCGAGAAATTATATTCATTGTCTTATGTGTGTATTAAAGCTAATTTTGTTTTACAAATTATTTTTATGAATTTATTTATTTATTGCTATTTTAATAATTGTGTTGAATTATATTAGTCGTAAAATAATACGAAAATGCTGTTATTGACTTTTATTAGTATATTTTATATTATTTATTTCAATAATTTGTAGATAATACTGGCGGTTAATAAATGCTGTAACACAATATATAGGTAATAAGCTGCAAATACGCATAAATGCTTTATCATGATGGTTTTCATAAATCCCTTAAGTACATTATTCAAATTATTGATGTGGTCAATTCTTCTGCGTTGCTCCTTTGGCGTCTTTAACCCCCTTTTTTTACTCTTAGAGTCAACCATGATCTGTGCTTGTTTCTTAATTAGATATCTATTGGGAACAGGTTTTTCTTCTTCGTCCTTGTTCACCGATTCCACGACATTGTCGTCCAATGACCACAGTACTGCTACGTCCTAATACCATACAGAATATATTTTTAATATTATACGTTACCTTCCTTACTGTTGATTTTTATAGCACTACATTAAAATGTACATACGTTGTTTTTAATCCTCCCATTCACATTACGTTGATCCTTATCTGTAGTTCCATAACTTCTTATTACATTCTCATATTTGGTTTGTAACAGGCATATTAACCAGTCAGCTTTATCAATACTTGGACATTTGTCTGGCACTGGTGCACTGTCTGCTTCTTTTAATGCCAGGCACATGTCGTACAGTCTAAAAAGCGTCGAGTCAATTTGATTTGACAGTTCGGACCTGTCCTTTTGTAAACGTTCGAGTCTGTCCGTCTCTTCGATTATTTTAAACTTAAGATTTTCGGTTTCTTCATCATTCCTGCATAAACAATCATTAATATGGAAAAATATTCAACGAACAAATTAGTTTAGGGTGAATTATGTGATATGTTAGAAATTTAGAATATTTTGATTACTCTGATTTGTAAATATTTATAATGCAACAAAGATCTATACTGCGTGTATACTAAAACTAATGTGCATAATGCATTAAATCAGTCAACTTATTAAAAAATCTATGAGGAAATTCTAGCTTATTTGTAAATACTATAAAAATTGAATCAATTTATGAATGCATAACTTGGTAAAAAAAATTTAAAGAAAAATCATGTCTATTATGTCTATAGTTAAAATTTTCCAAATAAATATTCAGTTAGTATTTAGACGAGTGGAGACCAAAATAAAATCAAGTAATTTTAATTACGTAGCCAATTTTGTGGTAATTTTATACTTAATAATTATATATAATATATGGTGTAAAATGTGAAAATAAAAAAATATTTTTGATATTTTTACTGTTCTTTGTCTTGAGCATCGGAAAATCGACATTGTTCAAATTCCTCATTAAGCTGTTGGCATTTGATCTGGAGGTCCTTTTTTTGATTCTCAGTGTTAGTTTTTAAAGTAGTTAATCTATCTTTAGTTTCTTTTTGAGATACAAACTTTCTTCGTACGTCTTCGCTGTCAATTGAACCTAAGTCATTCAGTAAAATCAATTACATATTTGCAAAAATACACAATAATATGTAGTTTGTACAACTATTATAATAATAATGTAAATATGCTTAATAACATTATTTTATATAATTTAGAGTTTTGAATAAACCGAAGAGTATTGTAATTTAAATTTTTTAAATTTTAAAATTGATGTGTCTTTATCAGAATTGCAAATATTTTTGTACTATGTTTATTATAAATTTTCATTTTTTTTTTAAACATTTATCTTATGAATATTTTGATCACATGATTTTTTTTTTTTTGTTACCAAGCTCAACTAGGAATCACATTTTTCAATGAAACGATTTATCATTGCTTTCAAAATGAAAGACACACGCCCCAGTCGTCCACCCAACTCCGTTGTTCATACCACTTTTTTCTGACAGTCTTATTCACACAATCATTACCAGTGACTTGTTTCAGTTTGAAATATGGCATGTCAGTAATTTCTTGACTATCCGATGATCCATTATCTCCAAACCGTTGTTCTTCCGAAGAACTAGGAATTGAATCCTGGTGTGTAGCTCTCTGTCCCGGTGGAAATATTTTTCGTTCCAATTTTTCTAGCTCCGTTTTTCTTTCTTCTACTTGCGCTCTATATAATAATATACGTATAGATTATAGACATGTATAGATTAATTAATAATCCTTGGTTAAACCTTATCATTTAGGATTTCAACTCACCTGATTTGTTCTACTTGTTTCATACGAAATTTCGCAATATTAGCTGCGTTAGTTTCTTTTTTCTGCAACACTAACCTGGTTTTGTCCCTTGATTTAATGGCTTCTTCGTTGATTTTCTTAATAAAATAAATTATGATTAATGCAAATAATTATTAAGATAAAATGAATAATTACTTCTAGTCGTTGAATTTCGCGTTGTTGTGTCTTTATTGTTTTTTCTAATTTGTTCAACGTGGAATCGAACACCACAGAGTCTTCCAAAAGTCGATTTCTTATGGATCTATATTTGCGTGTCACGTGTGACGCTTCCATTCGGCTCATCTCGATTTGATGCGATCGATTTTCAAGCGCCGACAGCGTCTAAGCAGGTATTCCACAAAGTTAATTTAGATATAAAAATTAAGAATATTTTATAATACCTTAGTTGTATTTGAATCTTTGTCTACAGTAGAAACAACCTTTGACCGCACGTCACTCCATCTCCCGAACAAGTCGTTCAACTTGATCCTTTTCTATAACACCGCAGTCAAGAAACTCATAAAACAGATCTAGGTTACAACTGGTTATTATGCACTACCTACCTGTTTGATATCATGTCTAATTAGATCTGTTTTTTTCTTCATGTCTATCAATTTCATATCCAAAATATCTATTGCTTCGTGATATTTTTTTCTCTTTAAGACTATGATTTTTTCATGAGGTTTTGCAACTGGTAATGCGTCTACACACTGAAAATATGTATTTATTTATAAGAGTTATTTATATCAATATTGCAATTGTATTTTATATGAATACTTGATTTTTTGCGTTTATGCCAAAAAGGCCAATTGTTATAATTTGTATGAGATATGACTTAAGATTAGGGCCTAGGGACTTAAATTAATTTGAATATTACTATTAATATCACTAAAAACATTATAACTTAGTAAGTGTGTATCATATAGCTGCAGGCGCTTAGGTAAGCAATTTATTATGGTTGCATATTTTTATATACTTATTCATTTTAAATTATAATTCTAATATATACAAATTTTGCTATAGTAATTGCACACCTATCTTATATATTATACTTTGAAATTCATACATTAATTGTGTTAAAAGTTGTCAATTAATAAAAAATATTGATGATCATCAGATAATGTTTTATTGGTGAATCAAAGCGTGGGCACTATATTGTATTGCGATACCCACACTTTGACCTTTATAGGTACGACGAATTAGTTTGTAGAGTAGACACGTCTATAGGTGTACTATAATAAATATTACCTACCAATAAAATGTTTGTTTTCATTTATTTTATATATAGTTACAGTGTTTAAAATATTTAAATCGTTATCACATTATTACTACTCCGCAAAATAAGCAATAAAAATGCGTTGTAAAATAGATTAGAGTCCATATTTTTTCAGTATAATATACTCAAACCAGATTTTTTATGAACAAATATATATATAAATTTTAATGCATGTTTTCAGCGTATTTTTAATAATATTTTATACATAATCGTATTCGTATTTTAAGGCTTATTAAGGAATTACAGAATTATAGTTTTGAGTTATGAATTATTATGACCTACCGTGGATTCTTGTTTTTTGATTTGGTACATTTCTTTGATGTCACGTTTCAACATTTGAATCTTCTCGTTGTTTTTTTTCTTTTCTTCGCCGCATTCTTCGTATTGCGCTTTTTTTTGTCCCTCTAAAATGTAAATTAGGATATTTTAATACAAATTATCTCGTTATATTACATAATTATTATTTGGTTTTGATAATGAAGGTTAATACATTTTATTGATATATCCGTGGTTTATTGGTGGTTAACATGCAGTAAACTGACTAGTTCATAATTGGGTGAGAAAATTGTATATCGAACAACAGCATTTTTCAATTTATTTTATATTTTTAAAACAAGATTGCACTGATAGCGGTTAACCACACATAACTGTAACTGTGGATTTGTTGTTCTAAACAATAGTTCTTCTTATTTAAAAATATTTTTTATCTATGTTTCAGTATTCTTATGTTAATATCATACATACATAAAGTATATTATATTGTACATTTTTCATGTTATCGTAGGTATTGGTATTTGGTGTCAATTTTTCTATGTTGAATTTATTTATTGTTGATAAAAATTATTATCATTATTCAGAATGTTTCCAAAAAATTTTAAATAATCCATTCATTCACTAATGAATAATGATATTTAGGTTATTCGGCATCTATAGTTAACAATTATTATTAATTGTAATCAGTTGAATAATATTATACTTACCAGATAGTTGAATCTTCTTTTTAAGCTCATTTATATTTTTTACTAGTTCTTCGGTAGGAACCAATGATTTCTCACGTTTATTTGGCATAATTATTATTTATTTTTAAAAATTATTGGCATTAAAATAACACAGTACTCAGTGGTCACATTTCATTTGAATAAAAAAAAAAACGATTGCTTCTTTGCGTTCATTTGATATGGCGCACATGGAGTTTGATCAATAACAGAACCGTAAATAACTTTTACCCTTTCCACCTCAGCTTATAATCTATAAAGTATTTTTTTTTTTCGGGTATTCTATTACTTGGGTATCCCTCAAAAATAAAATAAAATAATAATAAAAATTAGTAATAAACTAACCTACACAGTTATTGTTATAAGTTGTTCAGCTATTTAAGAATAGGTACATTTTTTATCCTTATATAATACTATATATAACTATATATATATATATATATACATATAATTAATATAAACTGGTAAAACTTTTTTTTATAAATGTTTCAATTTTAAAGTTCCAATTTTTTTGTAATTGGGTAATTTAAATCAAAAATAACAAATTTTCCTTGAACTATTATACTAGTAGTTTTTTTGTGATTAAAAAAATACTAATCATAATGAGATTTTGACGTTCCCACTATTACTATAGGTACCTAGGTACTGTAATTTTCTATATAGGTTCATTATATTATAAAAATATTTAGACTAAGTTGAATTGTTTAAATTACTTATTTCAACATTACAATGGGCAGTTACCCAGTTTTTATTTATAATTATAATGACTAAAAAAATTAGTTCTATTTAACATAATATAGATTAATTTGATTAGGTGGAGGGGAGCATACTTTTATGATACCGAAATCCTCAATACGACAATGAGTCTCTCTCTCCTCTGAGTATAAAACATCTCATTGTGCTTTAATCATAATTTAAATAATATAGGTATTTACATAAAATATTAAATGCATGTTGTACATGTGTGTGAAAATACGAAGCAATATTAATAGTCTTATTATAAAGTATATTATATTAACTCTTTGAATAATAGAATAGACGGTATACCTATGTTTCTATTATATTATACTTGATACATTATTAATAATATAATTAGTCAGTTCTTAACTAGACAGTCTGTTTATAAATATGATTAATTTGCATTCAAGTTAGAACGATAATATTTACTGATCTTAGTATTTATATTATGATATTATAAAATTAATTAATTTTTTTAATTTATGCAATGATGATTTTTTAGTTACGTATTTATTTGTTTTTAATATAATATCTTCAGCAATAGAAATATGTTTGTGACTAGGATTCTAAATAAAGGTTAAAAATAAGTACAGTATATTATTCTATCATATTTTATATTGTAAGGATTTGGAAGGATACGAAAGCCGAAAGATAATAATATAAAAATAAATTATAATAATACAGTGAACAGTGGCGTATTCTGCCATTGGGCTTTCTTTTTGCTTGATATTCGGGATTCATAAATATTAATACATAGCACGTCCAACAAACAAATTCTATCTGATATTCTGATCGAGGCGCTGCTGGGGACAAGTACAATAATGAATTGTTGTATATATCAAAAAAAAATAAATATATATTCAGACAAATCGACATTGTGCTATTGAAAAGAAAAACGAGGTCGTTATTTCTTGAAACAAAAACATCCCAGGTACCTAATACATAAATATATTAAGAGGCTTAACGCCTAACGGTTGTTTATCTTACCATATTTAACTAAAAAATATTATACACACAAACACACATCATTATTGTTCTGTTAAAAAGTATTTTCTCCATATAGTATTGACGACACATGTATTTATGCCAAGTAATACTTTTATGTTAGTACAACAGTATGTACACATGAATATCATGTGTTTAGATATTTTTTTATTTAAATTGTACTCCCTAAATGGGATAAATGGAATAATTGAATATGGTATTACAGTATTAATGATTTGGAACTGTAACATGCCTATGAGATCTAAAATAATAACATCTGCTACTGAAACATCAAACGGCAATTGCTTTTTTTTTGAAATTTTTAATTTTTAACGAGTTATCTAATTAAATTTATAATTAATATTTTTTATCTAGAGTACCGATGAGAATTAGATTAATACAAATAATATTAATGACAAACATGTTTATATTAAATATTTAAGAGATATTTATAAAAATTACAATAATACAATAATATAGTGTACTTGTAGGTATATTGTGTTTAGTAATAATTTTGGACTCCAGAGATCAAGAATATAGATTATAGCCAAAATAGTTTCGGAACTTATATACGTAAATTGAATAATTTTTTATAACAGTTGATGATTGGTATTATCAATTAACCAAACCTAATTACATAGGTATCTGCTGTAAAAAAAGATTTCTTATTCTGCCTTTCTTATTATAAATACATTTATATATTTAAGCTTTGTATTCGTTCTTGTTTCTTATGCTATGGTTTCCAAAATGTTATGATCACAATTCACAATTTATAGCGGCTTACAGTTTTGAATTATAATGTTATCAATAAATAATAGTTAAAAACTTGACAACTGCAATAGCGGCATAAACTTACTTCATTTGTGAGACAACTGTATAAAATATGATTGCTCCATTTGGCCAATTTATATTTGGATTAAGAATAGCTATAATATTCTTCTGTACATAAGTAGAAACTACAGGAAACTACTAAGTCCCGTACTTCAGTATAAGTAACCCGTAAATAGAATTTCATTATAATTTTTTTTAAATTTCGTGGGTATGCAATAGTAAATTTGTAAAAAAAAATGTTATTTAATTGAAATTAAAAATGTATATTTTATTTTAAATTAAATGAATAAAGGTTCCAAAATTCGACTTTTAGTATAAGATTCATATGACAAGTTTGAGTTTGTGAAAATTGTTAAGGTACCTATTGACAAGTTGGATTTATCCCTAATTAATATAATTGTGTCTGTGCCTAATGATTCGAGACCATGAAAATCCATTACCGAGATTAACTCAATGAGAGGAAGGTCTACAAGCTACGCAAGTCTCAAGCGATATTGTATTATAGGTATGCAACGATGTAACGTTCATTCAATTAACTGTTGTAATTCTGTACAATTAATTAGAAAAAAATACTTGTAAATCCACATTCATATTTATAGTAATATTAATTATTTACGTTTAAAAAAATAATACATAATAAATATAAAATAATATGTTGACCTCGTGGTTGAAGACGTAATCAGCAACTATATGGGATTGCAGCATAGCCGTTATTTTAGTATCCTCATTCTTCATGAACGACTCACGTGTACTCGGCGCATAGAGTAAAGTACTAAATTATAATGTATCTACACTCAATGGGTTCATTATATTGTTATATTCCATTATAGTTCGTCATGAGTAATCGAATGAGACCGGTTTTAAGATTTAACGATAGGTAGGTAATAACATAATATGTAGGTACCTATACATGAAATCTAATTTTTCGCCATAATATACCGACGTATGTCTCTAAATCTGTTGACTGTAATATTCAATAACGTAAATATATTTTATTTTTCATTGATATGTTTGTTACCATCATTACTAGGTGGTAGGTGATTCAATTTTTTTCAGATTTACTATCCATAGAATTTACTTAAGATTTAAGAATTCTAATGTACAATGTATATTTTTTGTATTTTTCACCCAAGTAATCACTAATCATTATCCATTATAATTTTATGTTTGGGTAAAGCTTATCTATCATTAAATTACCACTTCGAATTTATTGTGTCTGGCCCGTCGTTCGATATAAAGCGAAAATTATATTTAGTTATAAAATATAATATTTATTTAATTTTACCGATTCAATGTCTTTAAACAAATTTAAGTCGCACTAAATCAGAGCAAATGTTGCTTGTACTCTATCGACGGGCCTCCATGAAACTTGTGAGCAAATGAGAAGTATTATTGTATTAATTATTTTGTAAAATAAAAACTAACGTAGTTCATGTACATAATATTTGTATGTTATTTATCTTTGTAATTGTATGTATTTCTTTACTGTACTTTCAACGTTTCAAATTGATCGTACTTATTAATATGTAAATACTTCGATAATTTGATCTTCATTCCGAAACTGAAATATGAATACATATAATATATGCCACAGGCCCACAGGGGTTTTAAAAACGTAAAAGTATTTAAAAGTTACCTATTGGATATTCTATATTAGACATATTATAATATATCTACTTCTATTATAACTGTATAGAATAATAATATGAATAATGATATGATTAGAAAACGTTTTTGATATATTGGTCAGTTAAAAACGTTAACAATATTCTAAATTAAATATTTTTA